TATGTATTGTTTTTACTTCCTTGTAAAGAAAGTATTGTAATCACAAAAAATTCTGGGTATGATATTTCAAAGAAAATATCCATTTTGACAGCTAGCGAATGCAATTTAATGATGTTCTCTGAATGTAAGGACAGAATAAAGGACTCTCTTCCCCCAAATGGATTATAAAATTGATTTAAAATGGATTCAAAAGAAATTTTTTTCACGGCATCTGTACGTACGTAAGTATGGCTCTAAAACGAGTAGCCTCAGAACATTGAAATTTGTATACTGGACTATAGCTTGTACTTCTGCACCTCCCTTTTTGGTTGCAATTGGTTGCACCAACGGTATATAAATATATACACACACACTCTGTTACTCGGCTCGGCATAATCAATTTTTTATTTCTATGTGTTGGCAAATTGTGCATTTTTTGCTTTAAAATGTTATTCATATCTTCCAGTTAAAGTTTTTATGCCTTTAGTTGATCTGCATGCAATAACTATAAAATTATCATCAATTTAAAAGTTGTTTAACTGCAGCTAAGCCCTTTTGTTTACCATAGCAGCCATATTTGTTTACATTTGAAACTTGGTAGAATAGTGAATTAAGTCCAAGAAATCTAGATAGTACCTTCAATTACCTTCTCTCAATTACTCTGTACCTTCAATTTTTTTTTTTTTTTTTTTGCCGAATGGGATGGAAAGTATATTTTCAGTTTTGAGTACCGAAAAATCTGCATTGTTGCATGCTGGCCGAATTGCTTGTTTTTGCACAGAAACTCTAATTTTAACTCTAAAAATTTTTTTTTAAATTATTTTAACTGTATTTGATGTTTTATTTTTTCTACATGTTACAATTTTTTATGAAGATATCTTGAGGTTTTATGTATTTTTGCCTTATTACAGTACGAGAACTGAATTAATTGAATGAGATACCTATCTCTAATGAAATTCGAGTAAATAAGTTTAAATGAAATGCAGCAAAAAATGCATATAATTTAATATTCTATACAAGAAAGTCATGCGTTATTTGCATCAGGTTTTTTCATATTAATATGCAGTTTATGAAGTTAACCCATACAAAGAATTTTTGGTACTTTTCCATTTTGACGGTGCAAGTGATAAAGTTGGCAAAAATGGTACAACCGATGCCAAACGGAATATCCTCTCTGGTAACATTTTAATGGCTCATTTTCAAAACAAGTTGCAGCTATTTCTTATCAGATTGGTTGTTTCTCTCAATACTGGCATACAATTACATATAATTTTTACCAGATAGTTCAATTTTATGCCCTAAGGCCATTTGTGGTAATTAAGTCAATTAGGATGCAATCACACAGCTCACCCGAAGGCTAAAAATATAGGAAAGGCAAATTCAAAGGTTAAATTCATCAATTCTAATGAGAATGCACTAGCGAAATAAAGCACTGCAGTTTCACATAATTTTCTGTATTCTGTACGCTATTCGTACGAATTGAAATAATTCTTGCATTTAAACTTGTATTCCAAATTAAGATTTAACTTTTAATCACAAAAAATTAGTCCAGTTTCTGCACAATGACCAATATCGTATTCTTCATGGATACGTCTCCACCAAACTCTTTCCCATATGCTCGTTGGGTTTGAACAATGGATTTTGTTCTTCAGTAAGTCTTCACTATGAACACATGTGCCACCAACGGATAAGACATGGTGATAATTATTGTATTGTAGATAATTACTGTGACAATTAGATTTTTGTAGCGTAGTTTACGTGAAATGAGATCACTTGTGGTCATGTGATATAAAACGGCAAATCAGTATGTTATACCATGAAAGCATAGTAAATTCTTAAATTAATGTCTTTTTACAAATTTATTGTCTTTATTTATTGTCTTTTTCAAAATTTTAAATGATTTTAAAATGTTTATGCCTTTAAAATAAAAATTTCTTAGAACTAACATTTTTTTATGTGTATACTGTGTGTTGTCGCCAAGAAAGTCTGCCTGGTGAGATTTGCGCCGCCGAAACGGAAAAGTACCAAATTTTTTTATCCATAGCTTTTCAAATGCATATTCTTAAATACACTCACACCTGGTTTGCCCACAATCCACACAAAAAACAAACTTGCTTACATTGGCAGCAAAGAGGTCCTTTCTAAACATAATGCTTATGGAGACTTTTTGGATATTAGAAATTAGAAACATAGTAATAACCGAATAAGCAGACACAATTTGTCTTTTAATAAGTCCAAAATTTCAGTTTTAGTACTTTTTATAAGCTGCTAGAATTTTATTAATTTAACTGCATGAGTACGGAATGTACTGATACATTAACACCAAGTTGGGCTACATTACCTGGCAGCTTCTAGAGCACCTTAACATGATTCAACAGCAGTGGCGTGTGGTAGGTTTTCATGCAGGGTGTTCAGAGAACAACAACAATAATAATAAAACCATAAAAATGTACATTAAACACTTCTTTAACTTTTTATTATTCATTTGTACACAAAATTCATACGTCTATCCATATTACTAACAAAATCATGAATTACATGATCATAAAACTCTGGTTTTGACTGTAATAAGTATAACATTTCTTTTTCTACTGCTATTAGAGATAAACTGCTTAATCTATTCTGGCTCATTGTAATTGCATGCATAATTTTTTACTCTTTTCAGTGCTGAAAATGATCTCTCCACCAAAGCAGTTGAAAATGGAATTGTACAAATGAAATGTGCCAATTTATTTACTTCACTTAGGGCATCTGTCAAATCATTCAGCATTATATGCTGAATAAGTTTCAATGAATTCATTTCGTGTTATGACTAACGACGATAAAGAACACATAATTCATTGGTTCCTATTAAATATATACCTATTAAATAAGCTTTACAAAATCGAAATGTCCTGCATAAGCGTTCTTTAACGAATTAAGGCATTCATCCGGAAATTTACTTTAATATTTCTTAAAAAAGCTGAAATTCAATAGTTCAAAAAATTTGAGCGAATTTAATTTTTTAAAAAATATTGGTCTTGGTCTACACTTGAGTTTTGTAAATTTACACGACTTTTTTTTTAAATTTGGGGGACCCACTACAGAAATAGTCTCTTCATAAACTTCATCAAATGCAACAGAAGTTCGCATATTTTAAATTGCATCTTTTACTTCCTCTACTTTTTAACTAAAATATGCTATATCTAAGTTAGTTTTTTTGTAAAATATCAAATAGAACATCAGTGTAACTAAACACTTAGGCAAAAATATTTAGGAGAAAATTATCATTAAATTCTTCAAAACGCATGTGATAATGCTTTGCAATATTAATTGTATCATTATCCCAGCCTTCTGGATTCTATATAATATTTTCAAATAAATCAGACAGGCCTTGCCTTTCACTTTTTATGGTATTTACCAAACGAGATGAATAGTTCCCACATGATGTAGCTAATTTTGGAAATTTTCTTTTAATAATTTCATTTAAAACATGATTTCTTTTTGTAGACACTGAAAAAAATGAGGCTATGCCAGAAATTGTTGCAAAAAATAATTTACAATCTTTTATAAACAATACAGATTGCGACAGAACTAAATTAAGTGCGCAACAATGCACAAACATAGCTTCTGGGAAATGTCTTACTTTTTGATGCTTCCCATTCAACGCTCTTGCAATGACTGCCGCCCCATCATACGTTTGAGCAATCAGTTTATTCTCACACCCCCAACTGAAAATCGTTTCAGGCACAACATTACACAAAGCTTCCGCTGAACGATCACTACTAACATCTTTAAAATACGAAAATCTTTCCATTGGTGCACTACAATTATTAACAATTATTAACAGTTTTTATGCTACAGATGCGCAAATTTGCTTTTACGATGTGAATATTATGCTTCAGATATGTTAAATCGCTATTTTACCCAAGTTATGCCACTGTTACATTATGCCACACTGGATGTGATTCAGCACTTCAAGTGCACAGGTTTGTTCCAAGATTTGGATTTAATTTTTCACTTTTAGGATACCCACTTAAGACAGATATAGATAGGTAAAGACTTCAGGGTCATATACCTATTAAATAAGCGATGACCTATGACCTAATTATTAACATATCATAGCACAACCGATAATTGTGATTTGTGAGATGTGTCAGATGTTTCATACAGCATAACAGCAATGCATGGCGTTTCTTTTACCTCATTTCTAATTTCTGAAATTACAATATTTTTTATTGATGCAATAATATCATTTTGTATTCTATTAGAGGTTCCAGAAAATACAGTTGCAGTTCTTAGATGGGTTGCTAAAAGGTCATCATATTTACTAATTAAAATTATTAATTCTATATAATTTCCTCAATTAAGGGAATTTACCATATTTTCATTGTGTCCACGAAATGCATCTTCTTGTTTTGCTAAGTAACAAACTATATCTATTAATCTCTTGAGAATATTTCTATTTCTTGTCACTTTTTCATTGTGTTGAACAATCGATAAAGCCTTTTGTTGATCTAACATTAAACCTATCCTGGCGGTACCAAATGTCTTTAATAGTATTACGGCATTTATGCGAGATTGTGTTTCTTCATGTTTCTTTGCAGCTTCATGGAGATGATTTAAATCACTTTAGCCTTGTTTTGTCCAAATATTCTTGTCCTTTTTAACAAAAAGTAAACATGGCCAACAGTACAACTTATTCAATTCACTACAACTGGTTAACCATTTAAATTTTTCATACATAGATTTTTGAAAAGTCGTACACACTATTGTCCTTTAATCTGAATGTTTTGCGATAGAATAATATCCAGCATCGGTCTACTTAATTTAACTATTTCGTTTTTTGTAGTAACTTCTCGTCTCGAAAATGCATTTTCCAATAAATCTTTAATTATTGAGGACATCTGAGTTCTCCATTCTGAAATTGGGTTATTTATTATGAATATAACAGAATTAACAGAATAACAGAATTAGAATACAATAAATAAAATACTTACGAGTAGTCGAGGTATAACCATAAAAACAGCTAAACTTATGAGAATTTTACTAGCACTGAAGCAAAAATCATGTCTTGTGTTGTATGGTGCCATATCGGCGGCGAAAAAGCAACACTTCAGGCTTCCACGGAAAAACTTATATTTTCAGAAAACATAGCACCACACGGCACTCGCCGCCGTGGTGCCTCATCATCAGCCTGATGACATCAGGATGCTCATTGGTGCCGACAAACCGAACGTCTTTTCCACATGCAGAGGATTTCACTGCACGCTGGCACAATAGAACGAACTTTTTCCTGTTCAGTCAATGGATTAAATTATATTTATTAATTGTTTTTAACATTTGGAAATCATATATTCTGCGAAAAACATCTTGACAATTTTTAAAAACAAAACCAGGGATATGGTGTTAGATAGATATAACTTATATACTGTCTGTAAGACACAATGAATAGTAAAATTTGACCTATTCCGTTAAAATTCGTTTCTTTTTTGTCTAACAAATAAAAAAAAATTTTCCAGCGAATTATTTCTATAAATATCCCTGAAATTACTTTATCACACTAAAACATTTCCCTTTATATTGATGAAATACTTCTTTATATTTCCATAAAAACAAAAACTTACAATATATAAATTTAAACATTAACCGTCTGCAAAATCGTATGGCCAGTTAATCAGTTAAAAAAACCAAAAGCGCTTCAGCACGTAAGTCCCCGCTCTAATACAACACTTAATAAACCATACCTTCGGATGATTCTGAATGCCAACTGCAGGAAAAATAGCTGCACTTGCCTCAGTGCTACAATATGCTCTGCTTCTCCAGTAGCCCATAGATATAAAGCGTGATTTTCTATTAGTGTGCAGTGCGTACATATCAAAACTTCCTATGTTCGTTTGCTTTTGAACTAGTTATGTGGTGCAGCACCTAGTACCGCACGCACTGCGGAAATACAAGCAAGCAAATCAACTAATATTTGAATATATTATAAATAATATTTATTATATACCATATAAAGATAGGTGCAAAAAATTATTGTCTCTCATAATTTTGACAGGGTGTGCAGTGAACATCCTGCACATATGGACCGCACACCACTGTTCAACAGCCTCCCTCAGACGACTGTGTCGGCGGGGCGCCAACCCACCGAACGGCCCGCAGGGACTTCTCATGTTCATCGCCGCAATCCATCACACTGAGGGCAGCGCAGGGAGCCCTCCCCTTTCCCCCCGCCCGCCGCAGTGCATAATATCTACATGAGAACGTCCCCACAGAGAAGGCAACGGGCATGACAGTACGAGTACGGTCCCTGCCAAGCCCGTGCCTACCATAGGATGGAGACCTATGGTTGTAGTCCTGTGAAGTCTGATTATATACCCAACAAATCGAAGCTGGCAGGATAGAAGTCCAGCCAGCAGTCTGGGAGAACCCCGGGTCCCCTTCCATAAACAGTCAGTTCCAGAAATTCCCACCAGTCAATCCAAAATGATCTACTGATACAATTGATATACGAATTCAATATGGGGAAAACTGTACAGCTGAAGTGTTTTGATGCACAATATATTGAATTAATATATGAAGTTATGGTTTCTCTTGCATTGTATTTAACATCAAAATGGTAGGCTAGAAAATTATGGGGGGGGAGTATATTTCTTACCTTAGCTTCAAGTTTATCATTTGCTAGTTTCAATTCAGCTCTTTCCTTTTCTACTTTCTCTAATTTCCCTTTTAAAGTTTCCAGTTCTTCCTAATTAAAAAAAAAAAGAAGAAAAAGGAAAGATTATGACATAAAATATAAAATCTATGATAAAGTCATACATAAAGTAAGAAATTGTAATAAAATATACAATCAACAAAGCTTTTCTTTAAGGAATATAAATTACTACAATATTGACATTTTGTAAACAACAGTAAAACTGTTGTTTAAATAGAAAATATTTTATTAACAATTTTTACTTTCCTCCCATTACAACATATGTCTATTAGGATGAGTTTAAGTTTATTTCATTATACAGTCAAAAGTCGTTAATTCGGACTCATCGGGACTTCGGCGATTCCGGATTATCGATTTTTCTGGATTGTAGATCATCAATTTAAATCTGGTAAAATGGCATGCAGAAATTATAAAATTAAAAATATGAAATCGTAATTTATGAAATAAAGAACAATTATGATCCAAAGGGTATCAAAATTTACAAAAAAAAAAAAAAGCTTAATATTTATTTGTTTACTTTATTAAACATTTCTTTCAATGTAAGTTGTTTAACATTTTACATACTTATTATACAGGGCAACCAAAAGTTTGGACCAATAATGTATTCCAAGTTTCAACCCGCATGCAGGTTTTATTTGAGATATATATATGGCTGTCTCTCTTTTCCCCTGCATTTATAAATATCTCTTCTAAATTTGCTGAAACAAAAGTGTCTCATGCCGTTATTAAGCTAGATGCGATCAGGTAAGATAAAGTTCATACTTTTTATCTTATGTAGCTTCCTTTCTAAGAGAAAAAGGCTGAGTGACAAAAAAACATTTTTGACAGAAAAACATTACACCATCAAAAACAAAATATGATAGTCTCCATGAAATTTTATATTGGATTTTTAAACGACATATGACATAAATTTTGAGCACCTTTTTTTTTTTTTTTTTTTTTTTTTAGTATAAATGCAACTTTTGCAGTCTTATTTCTCAATATTCAGTCTAATTTAAAAAAGCTGTTGTTTTTGCAAAGCCCACATGATGTGAAGAGACATTAGGCTTTTTGTGAAGTATAAGTAAACAAAAAATGAGCAGCGTCCTCACCGGGACTCGAACCTCTCAAATATACGCTGAGCATGCTGACCATTACACCCCAAAGGCATGCTACTCTTTAAGAAGGCTCTTAGAAGAATATGGTAAATATAAATACTGTATATACCTGTTTTAATAATAACAAGAAAACTCAAAACTTTATAGTATAGTTAATTTTCATATTTATATTATACATTTCAACATCATAAAATGCCTCTTGGATGCTGCACTCGAGAACAGATGTCCTCTCTTGCCCCTTCAGCTATACGACTGATCCTCATACCCCTAGCTTTAAGTATTATGGGGAAAAAATGCTAGTGCAATTCTAGTTGTGGCATTGACAACATTGCTTTCACAATGAATGTTAATGTATATTCTTATTTACACATGTTGTGAATGTAATTAACACCTCAGCTGCAACAGAAAGAAGATATGAATTTCGTGTGGGTGCAGCAGGATGGAGCTCCAGCCCATGTTGCTCTTCTGGTGCATGATTTCCTTAATGAACAATTTCCAGGTCACAAAACTAAGCAAAACGTGTTCTCCAGCATTTCCACTCAAATGGCTTTCAACACAAAACCCAGACTTTTAAACATTTTCATTCATTATGGGGAATAATCAAATTACACATTTCTCACTGTCAGTACAAGGCAGGTGAAGAATTGTGCAAAAGTTTGGAGGAAGCCTTTTGAAAAATAGCCTATCAGATGATCTTCAGTATGTCAAGGGAACATATACATCTGTGAGCATACAAAACTTGACGAAAGTTTGACATACAAAGTTGACATGAAAGTTTGACATTTGAAGTTTGACATACAAAACTTGACGAAACAAAATCAAGTACTGTTATAGAATTCTCCAGTGCTGAAGGATATCAACCAATTGAAGTACTTTGTCAGATGAAGTAAGTGTATGATAACACATGTCAACTGCATGTCAACAGCATGTCAACTGCTTTGAAAACAACTCCAGTGGACTGGGCTGGAATATTCAGGGAAGGACATGAAGGAACATGAAATTAATCCCAACCTGGTCAAGCCCATATTATTGCCACAACGGATAATTATGCAAGGGTAAGTAAAACTATTCATTTAAATAGACATATCAACATTCGATCCAAAATTCAGCATGAGCTGTAGACAGCACAAAAGATTATGAAAGATCTGGGCTATCAAAGTGTGCATGCAATGTTTTCCAAGATGTTGATGGAGGGACAAAAGTTTGTGGTCTCATTCAGATATTGAGACAAAGGTCACTGCCCATCAATCGCTCAATAGCCCACCTTTAAAATTGTTCATGGTCTGCTTTGCAGCTTTCATAGATTGGTTATACATTGGAACAAATACCAGAATGCATATAGTGACTTCTGAAAAACAAATGTTGCAACACAACCATCATGGGTACCTACACATAGCATATAAAGTACAGCTAAATGCAGTTGCTTTTGCAGATCTGCAATTGGTTTCAGTTGACCAAATCATATATATCTTAGAATTCTGCATGAATGCATACAGTAAAATTTTGATTTTCATATAATTATTCAGCACTTAATCCGCAAATTAAATTTAATGGTAATTTTACCTTCTAGAAATATGCATGTAAATTTCTTTAAAAAAAAGGACAATATACAGTCAAAAGTCGTTAAATCAGACACCCATAATCCGGAATGATCTATAATCCGGACCTCAAAGCTAAAATCTTTCTGCGCATGCACCGCGTTGACGCATGCACATAGGCGTTTTAGGCGTGCGTGCAAGACATTTACGACTGCGCAAGCGCAGAATACATTTCGCGTGCGCGTTTAATGTATAACGGACGGTATAAGCTAAAATTATCTAATTATCTATTTCAGTTAATGTTGATGATGCGGCGTGTTCCTTAATCTTCGAATTGGATACGACTTATTATTTTTTGCAGACTGTAAGAGCAATTTTATAAAAGTAAGCTTGAACTTTCGATTATGTCAAATAGAATTTCCGATGCTGGAGCTCCCAAAGGATCTACAAAACGAAAGTATGTTTTGATGTCCATCAAACAAAAAACGAATTGCTACAAAAAATGGATAAAGGCATATCCTTTGTTTATTTAACCGTTCCGAAATCTGTTTATCAATTTCATACTGTTCTGTGGGGGGGGGACGTCACGCAGCGCAATGAACTGGAAGTTGATCTGTCAACACAATCGTTATCTTCAGGGCAGATGTTTTTATTTTATTCAGCTTATAATTCCTTACTAAATGTAGTATTTCATCTCGGTGTACTCTGTCTTTGATATGATTTAAATCAAATTCCTCGTCATTATAAATATCACGAATACAAATCAAATATTTTTCAGGTTGCAATTTTCTAATTTCGGCTATGCGTAAGGTATGCTTTACGCATGCGCGGCGTTAAAAGAAATGTTAATAAAGTAAACAAATAATATTTAAGCTTCTTTTTTTGTAAATTTGATACCCTTCAGATCATAATTGATCTTTATTTTATAAATTATGGTTTCATATTTTTAATTTTATAATTTCTGCATGCCATCTTACCAGATTTAAACTGATGATCTATAATCCGGAAAAATCGATAATCCGGAATCGCCGAAGTCCCGACGAGTCCGGATTAAAGACTTTTGAATGTATTTGTTTTCAATTATTTGGGAATTATATACCCTTTTAATTAAAAAAGAGAGTTTATTTTATCACTGAAACTATTTCACCTTATGAATAAGTACTCTCTTCTATACAAAATATAAGCATGCAAATTTTTATTAGGGTGGTATGTTATATTGCCTTTTAAAATTAACTTTGGGTTTATGTGCTTAATGTGGGTAAAGAATTCATTTAGCAACAATTTCTTATACGTTGAGTTTCAACTTAAATGCACTTCATAACAAATAAAGACAGATTCTTAAAAACAGCCCTTATAGAAAATTTTCTTACATTAAAATCAGAAAATGTAGTATTAAAGGATAAAAAAGAGAGAAATTTACTCTTAATAAATCAATTTGTAGCAACTTTTTAAAGCTGCTAGCAATGTTGTTATTACAGAGAACGGTACTTAAAAACAGCCCTTATAGAAAATTTTCTAACATTAAAATCAGAAAATGTAGTATTAAAGGATAAAAAAAGAGAGAAATTTACTCTTAATAAATCAATTTGTAGCAACTTTTTAAAGCTGCTAGCAATGTTGTTATTACAGAGAACGGTACAGATCAGTTCGACGCCAACGTTTCGACGCCAGTGTTTCGATACGTGGTTAATTCGACACGTAGTCAGTTCGACGCGGGGTCAGTTTGACGCCATACTTTTTTTGCTTCTGTTTGACGCCATACTTTTTGTATTTTTATTTATTTTTAGAATAAGTTCGCATCATCATTCAAATAAATTTGATGTCATCATCATTTGGTGTTTCACACCCCACATTATAGGAATTCAAAGAAGGTCTCAGGTGTGTTCAAAAATCAATTGATCAATGTTATGAACAATTTGCACATGGAGATGTACCGCCGCACAAACAGAATAGGTATCTGCCAGCTGATATGGGGATTAAAGTAATAGTTAAAGATTTTGAAAATTGAGAAATAATGGAATACCTGGCGCATAATTTTGCAATGGATTAGTATAATAACAGTTCTGTGATGTAATCTTATTTATATGTAATCTTATTTATCTGTAATTATATTTGCCTGCAATATAATATAACTACTTTGTAACCATATGTTTATTTACCATTTGTGTATTTTGCCTTTTTGATGCTGTTTTGTGAAATAAATAAATAAAAAACCCTCCCTCATGTCCCGGGGCCTTGACGTTGGCGAGGGGACTCCTCACTAATCTGGGACACAAAACCTAGAACACTTTCACACATATATTTATTTCAAATATGCATGCAAACAATCGCTAATTCAATAAATAAAAATCAGTCATATTACTTATTTACATTACTTCATATTTATTCTAAAAATAAATAAAAATACGAAAAAAATATGGCATTGAACTGCCCCAGCGTCGAACCGTTGGCGTCAAAACGACCTGCTTCGACAGAGAAAATGTTAACACATGCACAGGATGTAACGGGAAATTAGCATAGGGATTCAGTTTAAGTAAAACTGTACACATGGTGTTTTTGTGATAGTTTATTTATTTCTCTCATTTAACAACATAAAATTCGCTTTGAAAGAAATTTTGCTAATAGATATAAAAGTTTTCAAAGAGAATTTCCTTCAATGAATTTTTAACAGTCTTTACTTTGCAAAAACAATTCTCTATCATTTAACCCTTTTTCCTCACAACAATTTCCCCTTGTACTGGCTTTATTTTCTTCATATTTAAATGTACTAAAAATACAATAGTTTTGCATTTAATAAATTGAGATTAAATAATACTTGAAGTATGATTTTGTTGTAATTATGTGCAAAAAATCCAATTTTAACATAAAAGAGAGTGGAAAATATAAATGGAATTCAGGACAGTGTAAGATAAAATTCTCAGATCTGCAACAAACCTTGTTCCCAAGGTATGGACAGAATTATACCGTATATAAATCACGGGTAAGAAATGTGAATGAATACTAAAAATAGATAAGCACTTACTGTCTTTAATCTTAATTCTTCTTCAGTTCTATGAACATCTAAAAGAGGCAGAGCTTTTACATAATAAATAAAAAAGCACTTACTGTCTTTAATCTTAATTCTTCTTCAGTTCTATGAACATCTAAAAGAGGCAGAACTTTTACATATAACCTCCACCACGGCCAACTTCGAATAGCTAAGAACTTTCTAACGTTTCTTTGTATACAACGAATTGCCATGTCTTGAACCTGAAAAGATGGAACTGGGATTTAAAGTAACTGACTCACAGTTTTTTTAATTTAAACAGGGTTCATAGCCACATTTTAGTTAAAAAAATAAGCACCTATAAGCCCTTTTCAAGCACATTTTAAGGAAAAAATAAGGCATGTTTATACACACTGCATAACCTTAAAAGAAAAATTAGACTTGTATTAAATATGAGCAATGCAATATTATTAAGAGAATGAGCATTACCTCAACAATGGAAAACAATAACTTTTTTTTTTAAATTTTAAGTGCAGTTCAATTACAGAATTAGTTTACAATGAGAGAAAAAAAAACTATTCAGAACTAAACTATATTACAAAATTTATGATGATATTTCAGTTGAAAATATAGAAAATAAATATAATAAGCCATATTAATTGTATTCGTTTGGCACCTAATAATAAATACAATTTATTTTTCCACTCATATTAATATTTAAATAATTTTAACTTAAATCAAAATTCTGACATTTTCTAAATTTCATGCATAATAGTTTTCCCTTAACATATACCCAAGCAAGTAATTTAAGAAAAAAGAGGCCATTTCTGAAAAGAAACAGGAAATGCTTCATTCAGTCATCCTTTAACAGTAAAAAGCTTAAACTAACCCGCAGACTCGGAAATTCCGAATATTCTGGATATTAACTGGAAAAAGAGGAGTGGGGGAGATTGTAACCCGTTCTTAGATTTAAATTTAGGCTAATAAATGATTTTGACATTTCGATGTGCATCATATAAAAAACCAACGGAACTGAGAAATATTCTACCTAGCAAGCACAGTAAAACTTTTAAGTGTTCATATCAAATCTCAAACTGAACATCAAAATTAATTATCAATGCAAAATACCGCAAACGTTATTGCGCAATACGTGCAGTGTAATTCTTCCATATGTGATATTACGCAATCGGAATCAACACCTGCCGGTATTCCGAGAAAAAAGTACTAAATAAAGGAAAAGAAAGAGACTTACTAATCTGGGGTGTTTCTGATTCTAATTTTCAACAGCTGTATTAAATTTCCGGAATAGAATCAATCTTCCCTTGGGTTGGGTAGACCGCAAAAACTTTTAGTCCTATTCAATTAAGATTGGACAGTGACCAAAAAAAAGTCTGCTGCTTCAATATTACAGATTTTGCGGAGAAACTCCCAACCTCCGTACTGTATAATGTATTGGCAAAGAAAATGAAATTATTTTGACTATTCGATTACTTTCCTTTTATTTAAGCCATTCCTAATATTATTCCTTAGAAAGTTAATCTGTGTAAAAACACACCCATTTTTTTTTTAAGTTTATGTACTGTACTTCAGCAATTACTGCAACTATATTATTATAAATATTCATACATATGCTCATAATATAAGCATAACGATCATAATAAATATAAATATGAACCGACCACGCGGAACGAGAATGCTAATTATTAAAAGCTTGATAGGAATTCAAACGTGTGTAGCATTTGGGTGGGAGGAAAAGACTACTGAATGTACCAGAATTTTTTACCTTTTCGCAATTCTTTGGCCAATAGAACGATGTGCACCTGTCTGTACTCTCGCGTGCACCATAGGTTACATTAATGCAGAGGAAGAGAAAGCATTTTTGGGAGTATTGATCACCATCTGACATTGCATATAAGGAAAAAAAAGTTTTTATTTAGTTTCGGCTTTGGGTCGGGGAAAAAGCTCGTTCATTAGAAACAAAGGATTAAAAAAAAAGCACTAAAAGCAAAAAATAAGCACTAAAAACAAAAAAATAAGGGCTTTAACGAAAAAGTAAGCACCTATAAGAGCCTTTATATTTTATTTTCAAATATAAGGACTTATAAGGACTTGTAAGGACCGCTACGAACCCTGTTAAATTTCTTATATATATATTATTTTGATGACAGATTTTTTAGTGTATTTAAAATATTAAAGCATATTAACAAAAAATTTACCTTCAGTTTGTTGATGGCCGCACGTGCGAGGTAACCTCGACAATAAGCTTGGAATGATGCAATTACACCTTTTAACTTATGGTCTCTCTTCATTTCCAACTGAGCTAATGTTCCGGATCTTAGGAAAATCTATTCATAAAAAAATATATACAGTAAATTATCATTGCTGCACTAATATAAATAATTAAAATAAATTAAAGTATTTTTAATTTAATGTTAATAAAGCTCTTCAGCTGCTCTAAATTAATAAATCACACAAGACAATTCAAAAGGTTCCTTCTATTATCAACTCATGTTTGTATGAACCATTAATGTAATGCTCTTGTTGCCACAATAGCCCTGCCTCAAAACAGTTCAATATGATATTGATCTCCAATTAGTCAAATGCAATTTTTCTCGCAGTATAACTAACTATACATACATATGGCAATGCATTCAATGAAAACAGTACACAGAAATAAACCTTAGAGTAGGCAAAGATAATTTTGGAAACCAAACCATAATCAATAATATGCTAATTTTAAAATTTAATATAAAACCTTTGATACTAATATAATTTAAGAAATATGGGAAAGTTAGTGATATGAAGCAATCTTTTAAAGGAAATAAATGTAAAATTATTATTATTTTAATGGCGGGCATAGCCATTTTTAGGCTTTCACCACTACTAAGGTGAGAAAGTGATGGTCATTTTATTATGGAGGCACCTAACAGGCGGCCATTGTTTCTTCCTATGAGGGGACACACAATTTTACATCCGTGGCTTCTCCAGGATTCGAACCCAGGCCCTTCGGTATCGCAGTCGGTTCCCCTAACCACTATACCATCTGGGCGGCATGTAAAATACTTATAAAAGTAATTTTTTTAATAGAATAAGACTTGTTGGAAACATAAAAAAAATGAATACAGGAAAACTGATAAGTCTTTAACCATAAATCAACAGGAAGCAGAAAGCATAGAGAGCCCACATTCAGAAGGTTATAGGATATTGAAAATAATTTTAAGTTTATAAATATTCAAAATTTAAAAAATCTCTAACCACAAGAACGTATCAGAAGAACACTCTAAAGAAAGCCCTGATCCGCTATGAGCTGTCCTACCACTGATGATGCTGACAATACATAACAGCTACAAAACATTTGTTGATTAGAAATATAGTTAACATATTTTTTAAACAGCTTTGTTAATTCATCTTTTGTACATTCAGTTAAAAAAAAAACAGCTACATGGGCCTTATAAGAAATAGACTAACATAAATGGGTTTTCTCCCTCATCTGAGGCGTTCCCGGCTGTCACCTTGATTACAACCGGAGGAGTAGGGACGACTTGCAGAAATTTAACAGTGGTTGCCTATTGCACCGTGTATAATTGTCAAGAAAAAGCTGGTTGTAGCACCTCATTTCACAAATTAGAATTTCTCCATATTTTTATTTTTCAAATTGAGATTAATTTTTTAAAATTTAACATATTTATCAAGCATAATTAACGTTTCAAATAATTATAAAGCTATTGCATGATTTCAGGGCTGGATTATTTTTTTAGATTTTCCTATGCTGTAAGGAAATTTGTAACTTCTTCTTTTCGAAAATAATATATTTAAATCTGAACTAATAGAAATTTCAAGCAAGCATTTTCTCTTGCAATTTTTTGCTTTTTATTGGTGTCAATAAGTAAAAAATGGCTAAAACATTTAAAAATGAATTTTTGAAAGTTTTGTTTAAAATTCTAAATTGTGCTGCTTTTTAAAAATATAGATGAATATTATAACACAATTTCTATAAAGGGATTTTATTTCAGTTATATTTCATAATACATCATAGTAATAAACACTTTTGACTCCTTAATATTTTTTTATACATTTAATTCTAATATTAAAATTGTATTTAACCCCCCATAATTATTTTGCTTTGTATTTTATAGTGATTATTTTTAAATTTATTTTTAGTTCTGCGTAGATTTTTTTTATTTACTGTTAATTTTTATTAGCCCAAAGGGGCGGTAGCCTAGAAAGGCGTTAGTTTCGAAGCGGCCTTTTGCAGTTTTACTATAAATGTTCGTGTCTCCTGCAAATTTGTTGTTACCAAATATTATCGCCCTATATTATATTTAAAGAAATTAAATAATGAAGAATCTGCATGAATATGTATGGTTTTCCCGCACTGTGACAAAAACGAAGTATATAAGCCACCAAATTTTGAATAAAAGTAATCCTCCACCCGAAACATGGGTATCTGGACGGCCAAATTTCAAATTTGTTTTTAATCGATTTCTATTTTGTAAACCTTTAACGAATTTTTGATTAACAAACTCAACGAGTCAGAGAGAGCCTGTACGGAAAATAAACAGTTTTATCTCCAGTGGGAATTATAAAGATTGCTGTTTTCAAATTAGTGGTTTATGGGCGAGAACATGAATTCAGTAAATATAGGAACACACAAACGTAAAAAAAAGGTTCCCTTTTTGTAAATATAAAAATCTGAATGTTTCTAGATTTTATTTTATCCTTTTTTCCCCCTTGTAATTAGGAAACTCGAAAATGTTATGCTCCGAATTTTATAATTACTAAATAAATATTCCACTTATAATGTTAATAAGTTAATGATATATAATCAAATAAATGATTGTTTTGTAATGTTTATAATTGAAATCACTCAACTGCAGATCGAAAATGGTCTTTTTAATTTTAAAATTAAAAAATGCCTAGGTTTTTAAAAGTATACTCTTTTTAACGACAAATAATTTCACCCAGAATTTATAAGTAAAAAGGTTAAAAATGAATAAATTATTTCCTCCTTTTGGAGAGTTACGCATTAAAATATGCCAATCTAGGTAATCTTCACAAAAATATCACATTTTTGGTGATGTGCGCCCTGCCCACTGGGTTAGTCTATCTCTTTTAAGGTCCATGAACAAGTATCGGAGTTTATAGCATCATCCTGTCCTGAAACAAAGATAGCAATCACTTTGTTATTCTTTACAGCTAGATAGCAATAATTTTGCGAATTTTTGGGCTACATAAATGCAGTTTTCATTTCAGATGTTCAATGAATGTTTTTAAAATAATTTCTGCATGTGCTAAAATTAATTTAACATCTGTGCACGTTTTATGAAATGAGTTAAAAGTTTGTATTTTTTACTTAAAAGTTTGACTATTAAAGCTCAATAAAATCAAATAATTTAAAACACGTACTTGACTCAGACCCATTCGGTAACTTGTTTTCTCTATATCAATATGTTCTAGCAATGATTCTACAGCTTGCCTTTCATCGTAGACTGGAGATGGTACACGATGTTCAGCTGAAGCCAAAATTTCAAATCGTCTTCTAAATTCTGAATACATAATATTTTCGGGAAAACCTGCAAAAACAAGAATTATGATCCTTGTAAGCATCTATAACTACAATACACTGCAAAACCAAGAGAAATGCTGAAAATGCATTAAAAAGGATTATGAGAACAAGCATAATATCAAAGAAAACATACTGAATAAGAACAATATAGTATTAAGAAGGGAAAGTCAGAAAAGAATCTAATTATGTATGTGGATATAAGAAAGCATAAATTGAAATCTTTTTGTGAAAGAAATAAATGTTTGCAGCTGAAGAAGGGGAAAGAAAAAAAAAAAAAAAAAAGAGTTCTGCAAAATCTACATTCAAGAGTTTTTAAGCAAAATATTTTCAAAATATAGCTTGGAACAGAAATCTAGAATTTTGTTTCTGTTTGGTTCAATGAAGCACCCTCCAGGTTCAACATCCTTCTGTGAGAGGAGTCAGAGTTAATTATTAAGTTAGTAGTTGAAACAGTTATGCAGTGGACATATAGTGTATTTGTTCGTCCCGGCTTTGTTTATGCTAATAGAGCACTTAACTTCGCAATGTTGTACACTTTGCACAGGAAAAAAAAAAGGACAGTTCTGTATCTCACGTGACCCGATTTTCAAAATTTAACTTGCGTTTTCCATGTCTCAAAAGCGTGACTTAGAATGCATATTAGATTTACATCTAGCATCATTCTAACACATGTATTTTGGCATAAAAATCAAACTTTTTCTGAAATAACATACCATTTTTTTTTTCATATTTTGATTTTATGACTCAAATTATGCTAAAGTTATGACTCAAACTCAAATTATGCTATTGTTAAAATCGCATGAACAGTTTTTAAAAAACTAGCTCTCAAAATTTTAGCTCCTGCATATTAATTGGATTTGGTATATACAGTCAAAAGTCGTTAATTCGGATACCCATAATCCGAAATGATCTATAATCCGGACCTCAAAGCTAAAATCTCTCTGCGCATGCGCCGCATTGACACATGTGCATAGGCGTTTACGCGTGCGCGCAAGACCTTTATGACTGCACAGAATACGTTTTCGCATGCTCGTTTAATGTATAACGGACGGTATAAGCTAAAATTATCTAATTATCTATTTCAGTTAAGGTTGATGATTGCGTTGTTTCTTAATCTTCGAATTGGATACGGCTTATTATTTTTTGCAGACTGTAAGAGCAATTTTATAAAAGTAAGCTTGAACTTTCAATTATGTCAAATAGAATTTCCGATGCTGGAGCTCCCAAAGGATCTACAAAACGAAAGTATGTTTCGATGTCCATCAAACAAAAAGTGGAATTGCTACAAAAAATGGATAAAGACATATCCTTTGTTTATCTAACCGTTCCGAAATCTGTTTATCAATTTCACGCTGCTCTGTGCAGGGGGGGGGGGTGGGGGGGGGGGGGGGGACGTTGCGGTGCACAATGAACTGGAAGTTGATCTGTCAGCACTATCATTATCTTCAGAGCAGATGTTTTTATTTTATTCGGCTTATAATTCCTTACTAAATGTAGCATTTTATTTCGATGTACTCCGTCTTTGATATGATTTAAATCAAATTCCTTGTCATTATAAATATCACGAATACAAATCAAATAGTTTTCTGGTTGAAATTTTCTAATTTCAGCTATGCGTAATGTATGCTTTACACATGCGTGCGTTGAAAGAAATGTTTAAAAAGTAAACAAATAAATATTAAGCTTCTTTTTTTGTAAATTTTGATACCCTTTAGATCATAATTGGCTCATTATTTTATAAATTACAGTTTCATATTTTTAATTTTATAATTTCTGCATGCTACCTTACCAGATTTAAACTGATGATCTATAATCCGGAAAAATCGATAATCCGGAATCACCGAAGTCCTGACGAGTCCAGATTAAAGACTTTTGACTGTATTTATTAATATCTCTTTTTCATTAAAGTTATTTGATTCTTCCTTTCACATTTCGAAATTTAGGTTCATTTCAAATAAAATTCACCCATTTTTTAAGATTTATTTTTTAAATTTGTATTTTTAAATAATTTTTATAAATTTTTCAAAAATAAATTTGAATTATAACCTATAAAATTTTTACCATCATCTTTAAGTAGATGTATTTCTAAGCATATCTGCAAAAAATTACAGTTTTTTTTATTCAAAATTTCCCAAGACATACCTGAATTTACATTTTGGCATGTTTTGAAATTGTTATTTATTATAAGCAATAATAACGAAAATGTGGTTCACGCACTTTGTTAAAATTACTTGAAAGAATGAATGATGGACCTTTTTCTGCTTGTGCATCAATGAAGAAAAAAAGAAAAGTATGTAGGTTTCTATAAATTAGGAATTTCGCTAAATGAATTAGTCTTGGATAAATTGAAAAAAAAATGTGCTAAGATAAATTTTAAAATTTATTCATAAATTTCTCACCAAAAATTATAATATTTAATATTTAGTCATAATTTGAGTTGTAGAATTGAAATATGGAAAAAAATTGGTATGTTTTTTCAGAAAAAGTTTGACTTTGTGTCAAAATACCTATGTTAGAGCAATAAATCTAATATATATATTCTAAGTTGCACTTTTAAGTCATGGAAAACGCAAGTTAAATTTTAACAATTGGTCCAGCAGAACCGGAGATATAGAACTGTCTCCTTTTTGTGTGTGCAAGGTGTAAATAATTAAATATATTTTGTGATCTAGTTTAGTTAGTATTATTTCAAACCAGTACCATCATCTCTCCTACTTACAGACAGCAAGCTTAAGGCTTTGGAAAAGATACCAGTTGCAATGTCTACCCTTCAAATAGAGTATTATATTATTGTTCCTGAAAAGGATGACATTTCTGAAACAGACAAGGAATTATCAGATCTAGAAAAAGAATCAATGAACTATTGCTCAAGTCTCAATCAAATGTTAATTGATAATGTTGTTAATGTTAATAAAATTGATATTACAAACAACAGTTGTAAAATAAAGTTACCTTGAAATTGCACTTCCTCAATTTACCATTAGGTATGAAGAGTGAAACATGTTTAAAATTGAATTTAACAACATTATTGCCTTGAATACTCAATTAACAAATGCACAAAAACTGCCTTATCTGTATGCCACCTTTAAGGGAAAAGCAAAATTATTACAAACTCAAGAAGATACTTTTGGATAATTTAGAAAATCGCTTTGAAAACAAAAGAGAATTCTTGTTTATATTCACATTACAACTATTTTGAAAGTCGAAAAAGTATTCATGATTCATCGAAAGAATTAAGGTATCTAGTAGCTGTGCTGTGAATAAAAACATCAGAACTTCAAGTAATTTGGGTTTCAAACGAAATAAAGTCTCTGATATTTTAATTCCTACTGCAATTTTGGAGGAAAAAAAAACAAGGAAACTTGAAAGCAATTCAAATTATCTGTAAATGCTTTAGATGTTCCTATGATATAGATGTTCCCAGATATTCAAATTATCTGTAAATGCTTTAGATGTCCCTAATTTTCATAACTTGATGTCATTCTTAGGAAAAATAAATCGAACTTTAAAAAGTATAGAAAAAAATCATAAAATCAAAACAAGTGAATAAAATTAAAATAAAATAACCTCCACATTCATTCAAATAATTTGGAAAGAAATTACGTAATATGTAATTTGCCTCTTTCTCTTTGTAAATTCCTTGATATGAATTTTGGTGAAAGATTTACATTAGTTTAGCAAAATAACTTGTCTGAACTGTTTGGGGAAAACGCAGGTTGCTTCACAATACTGATCCAATTATTTTTGCAATATTTACCATTCAAAGCATCACATATTGCTTCATAAAGATGAATCATCGATTTCAAATAAATAGCTGCACACAACCAGTGGCATAGCTAGGGTGGGGCAAGGGGGGACAGCTGTCCCCAGGCGCAGCATCCAAGGGGCGCCAAATTGATGCTACGAAATTTTTTAATGAAATATTTTCAATCCTTGGCACACAGAAAGAGCGCAAATTCTTCAGTTGTCCATGGGCGCTGGAAACTCTAGCTACGCCCATGCACACAACAGAGCAAGCAGACATTTGGCAGGAAGGATATACTTCTGGTGGCAAGAAAGGCAATCAGCCTTTCTAATTTTTTATTAGCTACAAATAAAAATGCTACCTTAACGTCTGCAAATGTTATGATAAAATCTTCAAAAGAGACATTTTTAGAAAAAAAAGTTCTCGACAGCTGCTCAAAAATTAACTGTGTGTTGACTCATTTTGAGAAACAATTAAGGTTTAAAAAAGCAATGGTCTTTGCTCCAATTTCAGAACTAAATGGAACACAAATTAATTTAAATTACAATTTGAGAACTTCAGTTGCCAATAAGGAAAAACTTTCTTAACAGAATTTGATTTTTTTGTTGTTCCAAAAATCCTAGAATGACTCTCCTTACCCCTACACACACAGAAAATACTGATATCCCCTAATATATTTCCTTAACTGATTACAGATTCAACACACCAAAGAAAATTAGTTATTACTAAATGTTTCTTTGACTTATTATGCCAAAGTTGGGTCAAGTTCGCAGCTCATCAAAGGACTTATTATTTCAGGAAATGGTATTTGGATTTGTAGTTAGTGATGTTGTGCATAATTCACCATGTAAATCATAATACTGTGGTCTGCTAGTGCAAAATTGAAGAAACATTGAAAAAATTCTCAGAGGTAAAAAATATGTATTAAATGTTCCAGACTCAGCACTTAGTACTGAAGAGAAGTACTGTGAATAACATTTTAATGAGACTTATTATCGAACCTCTGAGGGTCAGTTAATTGCATGCACGCCCATGAAGAATGCTAATTTGTTCGGAGAGTCTAAAAATTTAGCAGAGAAAAGCCTTAATCAGTTTGGCAGCAGCTGAATTGAGACTCAAACTTGCATCAACTGTAGCTGTAAAACGGAATTGCATAAATGGTGTGCAAATCATCCACATCTGCTTGTGTCTGAAAATAATGTTATCACTCATTCAGAATACACTTTTGATTAGTAACAAAAATATTCATCAGTAAAAAACTATTGTTTTCTCCTCAGATTAACTTCACAATGACCATTCCTCTTTCTAACTGTTAAAATACACAAGATGTTCTCTAACCAATTTCGAAGATGGTCAATCCACTTGGCTTAATTGGGCCAATGGTCACAAGGGCCATGATATTCATGCAAAGGCTCTGGCTCTCGAAACTCAACTGGAATGAAGCAATAGCAGATTCTATGGCCAATGAGTGGTTTAATTTCATATCCCTGCTCCCAGAACTATGTAATCTTAAATTCCTAGATTTGTCTTCTAGGTAGATTGCATAGTGCTCCATTGATTTGCAGATGCATCTTCTTCAGCATACAAAGCTGCAGTCTATCTTCAAGTTACAGGGTTACCAAGCACTCAAATTTTCAGTAGCAAGTCATAAGTTGCATTTCTATAAAGCTTATGAATTCCTAGACTGGAATTGTTAGGCTGCCTGATGTTATCCAAATTGATGGATACGGTGATGTCACTGCTGAAAGTTAAAATAGAAAATATAATTTCTTGGACTGATTCCATGATTCCTCTTTGCTTGGATTAGAAAATCACCACACTTAAATGTGCTTTAATTCAAGAGCTTACGGAGTCATAAGAGTGGAAACATGTGCCACCTGAATATAACCCAGCTGATGTCATATCACGCAGACTCAATGCTAACAACATTCTTGCACGTAATATCTGGTGGAATGGCCCAGATCTCCTTCATAAGAACATAAACAGCCTCTTGAACCTAACAATGACTAAGTCGAAGAATTAAAATGTTTATCAGACTCTAATTCTGCATTAACAGAAAATAATTCTAGCTTAGTCCATCTCTTAAACTGGACAAATAATTATATGAAATTAATCAAAATTTGTAGTTTTATTTTTAGGTTTTTCAGAATCATTAGGAATAAGGAAAGGGTTTCTGAGCCTCTATTCTTAGATGAAAGGAAGCCAAGCTAACATATATTAGGAAAGTGCTGAAAATTGTGTTTTATTCTGATATTGAGCCAGGTATAGCCAGGTACCTTGTAGGAACAAGCTTCAGATCCTTAAATCAATTCATCGACAATGATGGAATATTGTGTGCCGGTAGTAGATTTGTGCAATATTAGTTAAATTATAACTATAAATATTAAATAATTTTGTCAGCTAGACACAGATTGACCTTTTTGACCATGTACTATTACCATCTGAAATATTTACATCTTGGACCACAAATCCTATTCGGTGTTATTAGACAAAAATTTTGGCCCACCCGCAACCAGCAATCTTGCTAGAAGAAAGAAAAAAAAAGAAAAGGGAAAGAAAAAAAAAACACATGAGTGCATACAGTGTTTTGAACACAGCTGTACCAATAGATGGTGATCTGCCTGCAGAATGAGTAACAGTTGAATGAACATATAACAAGTGCAGGCTCTAATTTTGTGGTTTGATTCTTATAAAGAAAAAAAAAAAAAAAAAAATTATAGAAAGAGTGTTTTCCAAAAAGTCAATTCACTTAGAAATTGTCTCAGACTTCTCTTCAGAGGCATTAACTGCTATTTAGAGAGATGCTTCATGAGCAGAGGGAGAGCCCCATCATATTTAGCGATGATGCTACATACTGCCATGGAGTCACAGTCAAAAGTCGTTAATTCGGACACCCATAACCCGGAATGATCTATAATCCGGACCTCAAAGCTAAAAACTTTCTGCGCATGCACCTCGTTGACACATGCGCATAGGCGTTTATGCGTGCGCGTAAGACCTTTTACGACTGCGCATATGCGTTTGTGCAAGAGAAGAATACGTTTTCGTGTGCGCGTTTTATGTATAACGGAGAGTGTAAGCTAAAATTATCTAATTATCTATTTCAGTTAATGTTGATGATTGCATTGTTCCTTAACTTTCGAATTGGATCTGGCTTATTATTTTTTGCAGACTGTAAGAGCAATACTATAAAAGTAAACTTGAACTTTCGATTATGTCAAATAGAATTTCCGATTCTGGAGCTCCCAAAGGATCGTACAAAACAAAAGTCTGTTTCGATGTCCATCAAACAAAAAGTAGAATTGCTGCAAAAAATGGATAAAGGCATGAAGAATGTGACAGAGAGGTTAGTGAAAACGAAAAAATTTCGATTGACAAGTTAGTCGGTATTCTCGGCACAGCAATTAACGGGACTTGAACAGCGGAACTTTGTAACTGAACAAGAAATTATGTCTGTTTATAGAATTAAAGAGAAAGTATTATGACATGAAACAAAGCGACTTAAACAACTTACATTAAAAGAAATGTTTAATAAAGTAAACAAATAAATATTAAGCTTTTTTTTTTTTTTTTTTTGGTAAATTTTGATATCCTTTAGATCATAATTGTTCTTTATTTCATAAATTACAGTTTCATATTTTTAATTTTAGAATTTCTGCATACCATCTTACGAGATTTAAACTGATGATCTATAATCCGTAAAAATCGATAATCCGGAATCACCGAAGTCCCGACGAGTCCGGATTAACGACTTTTGACTGTATACGAGCTTTATAAATTAATAAAAGTACCAGAACAAGTTTTAACCAACTATCCATGGTCAGAGGAGATTCAGTGGAAATTTATGCCCTATAGAGTGCCACACTTTGGTGGGCTTTAAGAGGCAGGGGTTAAATCTTTCAAAACGCATCTTATGAAATCTGTTGGAAATTTAAAATTAACTATTGTAGAATTTTAAACTTTAATAACCCAAACAGAGAGAATATTAACCTTCAGAACCAATTTCACCCCTCTCTTCAGATGCAAGGTATTTTTAATGCATTAGCCCCTGGGCATTTTTTAATTGGCCATTATATAACAGATCCCGTAGAAGCACAAATTCTAAACAAGACTGACAAGAGATTGTCTAGATGGGAAAGAGTCACCAAAATGACTCACAATATCTGGAACAGGTGGCAATGGGATTATATACCATAACTTCATGAGCAAACGAAATGGCAGTTTACATAAGAGAACATTAAATCTAGAATTATGGTGCTTATGAAAGTAAAACTTGCCTATCTGACATTGAACTTTAGGATCAGTTGAAGAAGTTATACCCAGACTGGATAAAAAGGTTAGGATAGTTAGTACAAGCACTGCAAAGGGTCACTTTAAAGGCCTGTCACCTAATTAAGTATTTTGCCCACATAAAATAACAATATGGATGAAATTTATTCAATTCATTTCAGTAGTACAAGTATAACATTTTTACATGTGTGACATTTTTATTACTATATGTTATTGAATTTAAATGTTATTGAAATAATTCCTGTTAAATTGTATCTCATTGTGCATTTCTTATAGTATGTGTAACTTTGAATTTAATCGTAAATTTATATTGAATTAAAAAAACCTGTTTCAATGGGGGCTCGAATCTATTTAATGTAGCACTCTCCAGGTTCCATGCTCTCTTACGAGAGGAGCCAAAGTTAGTTCAGTTAGTAGTTGAAGCAGCTATGCAGCAGACGTATGGTGCATATACTCTACAGGTCTGCTGCGTAACCGTTTCAGCCTTTGTCTATGCTCACAGACAACTTAACACCTGCAATGTTGTACATGATGCAAATAATTAAATATATATATATGGTTAGTTAGTATTATTTTGAACCGGTGCTATCGTCTCATACTTTGCCTTACATATAGAAATCACAATTAGTAAATGGAGTTTTAACTGCATAACAATCACCACTGCAGAATTAAATAATGAAAGCTTATCTTTTTATACCATTATTGATTCATTTAGAGTAATTAAAGCTAATGAAAATTCAGTTTAGTTTTCTTTTCAGTAACAAACTTTTGTAATAAATAAAAACATATCAAGTCTTGCTTTTAATGAACAAACAAAAGCTAGAAATAAATGCATAACAACCATACTTTTAAACATTAATTCTTACCTTGTTTATGTACTCTTACAGTATCTAACACTTGAAAGCCCCGAATCTGTGACCTCAAAAGTGGAATATTAAGTACATCTTCTACAGGTATATTCTTGCTAGAAACAGGAGACAGACGGCAGTCGCCAACTCCTGCATTATGCCGAGGTAAGAAACAATGAACAAAATGCACGTTTGTCCTCCTTAGCATATCCACTAGACTATCCTGAAATAATAGCAAATTACTTTTAAAATTTAGCTATGACCAAAAATATCATGACTTGTTTTAAAAACCATTGGAACTTGGAGCACAACAAAAAGAATGCATATGAAAATTTTGACGCTGCTCAACTGAAGAATTGGTATGCACATGGTTGCCAGAAATTGGCCCATTCTGGAAATTTGGTCTCTTCTACTAAGTTGTTGCGATAATATGCAAATATCGTTAATACAGTACAAAGTCTGAAATCCAGACTCGTCGGGACTTTGGCGATTCCGGATTTGGGATTTTTCCGTATATTAGATCATCAATTTAAATCTGATAAGATGGCATACAAGAATTATACAATTAAAAATATGAATTCACAATTTATGAAATAAAGAACAATTATGACCTAAAGGATATCAAAATTTACAAAAGCTTCATATTTATTTGTTTACTTTTTTAAACATCTCTTTCAATGTAAGTTGTTTAAGTTGCTTCCACAAAAAATTCAAAAAGTTCCTTTTTTCTTATGTCGTATAAAGTCGACTTTCTAATGCCATACTCATCACATAATTTTGAGATGGACATGCCTTTATCCCTTTTTTTGCAGCAATTCCACTTTTTGTTTAATGGACATCGAAATGTGGTTTTGCTTTGTAGATCCTTAGGCAGCCCTGGAATTGGAAACTCTTTTCGACATAATCGAAAGTTCAAGCTTAATTTTTATAAAAATTGCCGTAATAATAACAGTCTGCAAAAAATAATAAGCTGGATCAAATTAGAAGATTAGACAGCAGCACAGTCTGCTACATTAACTGAAATGTCTTAGAATCAGCAAAGATAATTTTAGCCTAGCTTAATAGCGTCCATAATACATTATTGGCTGTGTATCCACAAGATTGGCGACGAAAGCCAAGTTGTTTCGCTAAATTTTGTCTTGCTCCTACTGCACACTGAATTAAGTCTGAATTGTATTAGTTTAGTTATTTACTATACTTATGTTTATTTCTTGCACATGCTTAAAACTAATCTCAGTCCTGAATAAATAAACTCTCACATATACCTTATCTAGGGCTGCTGCTAGATACTGCCTGGTGCAGTCTCTACAGGACCTAAATTCTGCTATAAGTGCCTTCCTAAGTTCCAAATTTTCACCACGCCTAAACTTTGGATCCCAGTGCTTTTCCTAAATCATAAAAAACTTCTCATCCCTTAATTTTGCCACTTGGTGCTTCCCCAAATTCCAAAAATTTCGTCTTCCCTAATTTCTGCCGTCCAGTGCCGACATATTCTGCTGCCGCTTCTGGGTTTATGGTGAGTAACATATCAGGTATTCTTAATTAAAACAGTACTAAATGTAATCTTTTGGCCTATGAGTTTCATTAACAAAAATCTATTTTTAGCATGTGAAAAGAAATTTTTGTTGAATTTTTCTTCGTCATCATTTCTTAGAGTATTTAAAAATCTATAATCATTGCCAAACGTAATGTTAGCATAAAAGTTTGCCATACTCTTATTATTCAATTACTAATATAAAAAAACAACTTTACATCACTGCATGAGTTATTACTGAAGCTGCCATGTATTGATAAACATGTGGTGATGAAAGCAAAATATAATAAATAATGACTCGCCAGGTCAGCGTCAGGGATATAAAATAGGTGAATGTTTGCTTCGAGATGTATACCAAATAGATACTCAACTACAGAGCTAAATTATTAATCTCACAAATTTATGCTTACATGATTGTTTTTCCATAACGAGGTATTTTATTTAGTGCCTAATTGAAATTAAGAATCGGAATTTTTAAGTGAAAATCTCCCCACGTTTTATTATGGAAGGAAAAATCACATACGCATGCATAAAGCATACAAATCAAAACAAAAAATTTCATGGCTTTGAGGTCCAGATTTTAGATTATTCCGAATAATGGACGTCTGGATTTTGGACTTTGTATTGTATTTAGTTTATTATAACTTCTTATTGCGCTTCCTCTAATTTTTATTTGAATCTAACAAATGGAATTGTTACTTAAGTCCTGACTCCTGTAGGCTAATGGTTTGAAATTAAATTAAAAAGCCCCTAAACAAATTTTAAATGTCACAGTATATTTTTAGCAGTAGTTAAATAATACAAACTGCAGTCTTTCAGACAAAATTTAAATATTCATTTAATTCTGAAACCCATAATTTAACTTATGAGTTCTGAATAATTGCATTTAAGATTGAAATTGATTTTAAATAAGATTTGAAAAATGTGAAAAACAAGATAATAAATATTTACAGCACAACTTATATTTCCCACCACCTGTAGATTATTTAGTACATTAAAATACTATTAAAAACTAAAAACTAAATGTAAAATATTTTTTAAAATTTTAAGTGAACAGATGCAACATTTTACACAGTCACAGTTAAAACATAATTAAAATAATGTTAGTTAACTTGCATAAATTATTATAAATTACTATACTAACCATAGTATATTTAACTTGTAAAGGTAGGGAACGCCTTTTCACTCCAGCTGCTGCAACACCTTGAGCTCGACGCATGCTGGAACTGCGTCTTAAAGTCGACCCGCCATCCGCATGCAGAGTATTACTTCCCGATGCTCCAAACACACCACGAGAGGAAGAAAAAAGTTGATTTATGTACTCCCTACAAAGAAGTAAGATAGCTTTCAATTCTCCTTTCTACAATCCAAATAAAAGTTAATTTCACTATGTGAACTGTATAACAAATTAAATTAAGATGTTACATATTATTTAATTTATGTATGTATTTTATTATACTTTTGAGACTCCTGTAAAAGAAATATGGTTTGTCTTGCTGTAGGATGTTCTCTAGAATAACGCAGCCATCCTGTAACAGAATATACCACAGGATTTGTGCCATGGAAGTGCTGAACTGTGAACTGATGGTTATATGGTCCTTTACGAATAAGTTGTTGATATTCTGTGAGAAAAAAAAATATTACATTTATGAGTAAGTTATAAGGAAAGAAATGAAAATGAAGAAACTACTGCATATGCATTAGAACTAATAAATAAATCAAAACAGTATTATTTTGCCAAGTGATATCATACTATTATATGACACTGACTGTATCTGTCATATTAGTTACAGAAAGGGTTACCCTATCTTTACAATGATATTAAAGCAATTGGATTGAGTTTCTTGATGATACAGTGGTAGCTCGATATATGCCCACTTTGAAACATGTCCAATTTGGCATACATCCTGTTTTGAATGTGGAAATTTTGTTTGGTGCAAGATATTTGTTTGGAATAAAACTCACATTTGATGAGTCACAACTGCATGTACTACACTTGTTTACCTCTTTAGAGACAGTACTATGATTGCCCATTAGTGTCAGTACACCTGTTGCTACTATTTAGTAAACTATACCTCTACACAATAAGTCTGAATTTTAAAATGATTTTGTGTTTTTTCGTGTAAATCATTTGACAATGACGCGGTTCCAGCATGCGTTCAAAAGCCATATCGTAAATTAATTTTAAAATGAGCATATCTTTAGAATTTCCAATGCGTAGTCTCGTGCGCTAGAGATAAATGAGTTTTAAGAAAGTTAGTGAAAAGAGACAAGCAATGAAGTAAGTTACTAGGATCAGAAAAAAAAAGGGGGAAGGAACAACAACAAAAAGAAAAAAAAAACTGAAAGGTTTCAGATTTTAAATTAAGTCCAAAGGAGATTTTTTTTTTTTTTTTTTTTTTTTTTTTTTTATGTTTTGTGTGTTACCTTTATTTATTAAATATTATGTTCTATGTACTCAAACAATAAAATTCAGTTCAACAGCCATATTGTAAATTAATTTTAAAATTAACATATCTTTTGAATTTCCGATGGCACAGTCTCGCGCTCTGGAGATAATTTTTTTTTCGTATGGTGTTGCCATTTTTGCTTTGAAATCATTTAGTTTTTTAATCAAAAATTCGTTGAAGTGTTACAAAATATGAAATTGATAATAAAACAAATTTCAGATTCAAATTAGGGCCTCCACATGCCCATATTCTATGGAAGATTATGTTATTTAAATTTTGATGGCTCTAGGTACTATTATTTTATTACAATGCGAGAAACATACATACATTTATGCAGATACTTCAATATTTAATTTCTTTAAATATATGACAGGGTGATATTATATGGTGGCAACAATTCGAAAAGTGATACAGCCTTTTAAAGTTTTAGACGGAAAATGCCAAAACGAAATTAATAATCCTTCAGGGCAAATTGTCCCTTTGGACTAAAAAAAAAAAAGATTGCTGAAAAGCATGAGGATGGTATGCGTATCTGGGATTTAACTACTGCATACCGTATGCTGAGGATAAATGTGTACAGCTGCGAAAAAGAAAGATGCTATTTAATCGGCTTAAGTTGCAAAGGGGGTGAAAGTTATTACCAAAGACCAGAAATATTAGAGCATGTAGAAAAATTGCTTTTGATTTGGAAAGGAGAAAAACATTTATACACATTACATATATTATTAGTATACCTTTCATCCACTTCATTTGTTTTTTAGTATTAAATAGTGCTATAAAAATAACAATAGATTTTTTTATAAGACCAAATTCATTATTTTTCCTTTATTTCTTACTGAAAAAGTTCACCTGGTATCTGTCCAAGAATCTGGAATGGATTAATGATGTACACCAAGGTACCATTGTATGTCCACATAGTGTGTTCCATGATAAAAGGGAGGTTTTGTAAAATTTCCAGAGATATCACTATCCATTCCTCTTGAATTACTATCCACAACCCAACAGTTGTGACAGGTCCACATTCAGAAAGAGTTCTTTCTCAAGGAGTAAAGGGACAACTTATGAAGTGTGGCTAAGTCTTGCAATTTTATTCTTTGACAGTCACTGGGATAGAAAAATAGAATTTCTTCTGTTAATACTAGACTGTAAATACAGTGGTTAGTAATGCCAGTTGCCGTATCATTGCACCCTGGGATTAAATCGTGGAATAGGCATGGCTGTCTGTAGAGTGTCTGTATAGCACGGGAGCATATAAAGTGTGCTGAAAGACAAGTGACACATCGAAAGAAAGATGAAAGACCCTTAGTTTCATGCCCACAATGCTCTCTTAAAATTGCAGTAGAGCAACTACACAGTTAGTGCAGTGAGACTATACCTGTATGACCCAGTGGTGAAATTCTGGTGTCGCACCCTCCTCAACTATCACCTGTAGTCATCAATGCTTTTTTCAACTTTTCTTATTTTTAATTTCCTCACTGTAGGAGAAACCTGTTACTGAAATATTCTTGGCATAATCAGAACCAAGTTTTTCTCTTTATTTGACTACTAAACATACTTTTTCTTCTTGCAGTCATCTACATTAAACAGAGTTTCATATGTGATCACAATATATTCCCATTTATCTCCTGTTAAAGAATGTTCATATGAAACTCCACAATATTTTTTGTTCAGCCTAGTGCCATGACAAAATTTTGAGAACATTCTTTCAGGGTTTTCAAGCTGAAAACTTTGTTTATTACTGCTGTGTTTAAAGATTCTGCAATCATAGATTTTTGTTATTACCAAAGATCTCTCAAGTTTATTTCACAATCTGTTTGTATCTTCTTAAAAATGTGTTTTGGTAACTCATGGCAAGGTATAATTCTAAAACTATACTCGCAGTATAAATATCATTAATAGAAAACTAAAATTTAATGAAGAAAAAAAAATGTTTTGAACATGTTTTAGGCTGGATACATAGGAAAGCACTTAAACATGTTGGAATACATTTAAGGTTATACTTCTTGCAATACTATAAACTGGACTTTTATATTCAAGAAATAAATTCTACTTAGACTACTACTACTACTGCTAAAACATTTGCATTTTCTAGCTATTTATTACATGACCAAATGAATTTAAGCTTTCTATGGAACAATAATCTACATTATTTATGCTTAAATAAGACTCACTCAGGAGAAAACTGTAGGAAATTTACTAACTATATGAATTTTAGATATGTAAGTAAAAATAAGAGCTGTGGAAATTAATAGAAAAATACCAACAGAATGGAGGTAATACTAGTAATCAGACATAAAATTGATTTAAGCACATGGCTCTTGACAATGCAGCCCCTAATAATGATGTAGCTTGCAATGTACCACTTTTAGTTAATTATTTATTTATTAGATGGTGCTAATAAAGCACTGTTTTTAAACATGAAAATAAATACAAATAATTAAAAGTAAAATTATTAATTAAATAATCTATTAAATTTTTTATTTCACTAAATTAAATCCCTTCCAATTTTACAAAACAAAAGAAAAGAAGAAGGTTGTATTTGAATTTTTATGAGTCACTGAACCATATACATTATGAATGTCATGAAGCATGGCCAAAAAAATCTCCAATCAAGCTTCTACAAAATAATGTAGAAATATTTGTGGTGTGCTATCTCGCATATTGTGTAGAACATTTAGCTTCAAAATGCAGGTGGTACTAATACTAATGGTATTGCAGATGATTCTAAAACAATGGTTTAAAAACCAATTAATTTAGCAGCATCATTTAAAAAAATAAAAATTAATAACAATAGCTTGGATGCTATGCGTTTGAACTTGACAACAGCAGCACTAGTTTCTCTCTCCACCCAAACCCCCAACTAAATGGAATTAACATGTCTGAGCAAAGAACTCAAACACAGTTTTATACAGAGAATGATCATTAGATTTTTGACTAATGAAGACAGCATTCCATCTCAAATTTATCTGAGACTTCAAAATTAATTTGGAGATGATTTAGCACTAATGGATTTTACTTCTCTTTGGGTCAAATTAAAGAATTTTTATAAATAAATTCAAATTACTGACACTGCAGAAAAATGGTTCAACCAGCAGTCAAATAAACTTCCTGAGTGTTAGAACAAGTGTAATGGCAGGTGACTAGATGGAAAAATGATGTGCAAGTCATTTCCAAATGAACATTTTAATGTCGCCTTTGGACACCAAAATGGACATACACCACTGCTTCTGGCATATAAAGTTAAGTGGAAAAAAAAATTATTTTTAGGTTTTGAACAGTATTACTAAATTGATAATCATGTTTATTCTATTAGATAAATAAATTTACTTCAGCAAGAATTTTTCAAGCACAATGCTGTTATATTATTTATTATAGAATACAAACCTTTCCCACAATAGTTTGTGCAAACTTTATCTAAGAACGACTTTTCGCTGGCACCAGGAAATAAGGATTCCTCATCTAAGAGCCACAAGAGACCTCGTTTTCCAATTTCTCGAAGATCGGCAGTTGATGCACGAACTGCTCCTTGTTGAGGCGTATGATCTATCACATCAATCAAAGGACCTGGATTACTAATATGGAACTCTTCCTTGTTCCATTCAATATTTTCCTGCAATTAGAATAAATATGATTTTAATTAGTTAGCCTAAATTTTAAATGGACCAGAAATTATGCAGACATATAAGAAAAGAATTATAGCAACCAATACATTAAGTAATAATTTACATGTAAATTGTAAATACTTATGATCAAAATCAGTTTTTTCACAAGAAAATATAATTGTAAAAAACCAGTTTGAAAGCAAATTTCTACATTGGTACATGACTACCATAATTATTTTTAGTAGATTACATACACACTGAAGCATAAAAAATGTCTACTATAATACTAGGACCAAATAATTACATTATTCTCAACAATTAAAATTTTTTTTTTAAATCCTGGGTTTGAAATCCATAAATGAATGGTTCAGTTTTCCTGACCCAGTGGTTATTTTGTCTATTCTGACATCAAATTATGATGCATATTTCATTTTATTGCATTTTTTTACTTCAACTGAATTTTACCTCTAAGAAGATTTCAGATTTTAATACTATCCTTTAACACCATGCTAGCAATACTTGAAATAAACTTTAAAGGTCTTTTTTAGTCTTAGTAACTTAAGCTCAACAATAAATACAGGTACATTTAAATTGTTCATCAGTGCCATCTTCATCAGATTCTTAATAATTTAGAATCTGAAAAAGTATTACACACTATCGTACAAATATTTTTCATTCTGTTCTTTTTGGGAAACTAAGGTTCTAAATGATCTAGTTCTAAAAATTTACTAATTTTGATCAAAAAGTTCTTAACAAATTATTGTAATTATGCTTGTTGTAAGTACAGGAATTAAAATGATGTGATAAAATACATCATAATACACTCCACATAATTCCATATTTTCGAAATAAAATCAAATGCAGAAACAAAATATGTCACATGACAGCAAACTTATTTCAGTAAAATTATTAACTAAATTCTAAGCCAGGATCATAACAAAAAAACAAAGACAACATTAACTAGCAAAGAGCTGTTAAAATGATTATAATTCTACCCATAATATCATAATTCTGCTCATAATGATATTGGCGCCAAAGATAATTTAGTTGAAATAAAAAATTATTACAAAACTAATAATACATGAAATTTTAGTAAAAGAAAAAAAAAAAAAAAAAGGAGGGAATCGTTTCTTGAACATTGATTCTAGGGCTCCCACACAAAAATTTTAAAAAAGAAGGGGGGGGGGGGGAAACTTTGATTGCAACTTAAAAAAATCCTGGCGGAGAACTAGTCTTCATCATACAACACAGCACCATAAATAAGGTATAATATTAACACTAAATATATTTTATTTAATTGTAAGCAGATTTTTCATCCATTCGTTTCCCTCCTCATATGTTAAAGTAAAATTTTTGATGTTCTTGCATTTTTTAAACCATTCTTCTCACCTTTTATGACAAAATCCTTGCATAACTACTTTAACCAATTTTACGGAGGATGTTTACACATTTTTAGAACAATTTTGGGGTTCTTTAGCTAATGTTTAACCATATCAGCATTATAGAAGAAAATTACATATAGAATGAAGGCTTTCATATTTAATACACATGAAAATTTCAGCCAGTTTTAATGTATCCAATTTTGGGTTGGATGTATATTGGAAGGAAAGGAATCAAAAAATAAAAGTGAGAGAGTTGTTGTTGTTGTTTTTAATTATATTCAAGAAAATACTATTGACATTTTGAGGAACTTTGAAATTTCAGGGCTAAATGTGCAACACTTGAAGGAATAAAAGGTAAAGAGTATTTTTTAAAATGTTTCATCCAACAGCCTTTTTTTTGGGGGGGAGGGAGGGACTATAAGTCAGCATTGTAATTTTCATGATACCAAGTAACCAAAAAAGGTTCATGCCACTGAAAAAAAAAAAAAAAAAAAAGAGAGAGAGAGAGAGAGAAATTCAAACGGAAAATGTCAGCAACCGTGTTGGGAATGACATCAGATGTTCACATTCCAATTAACCATAACACAGTACAAAGCTGCAAGGCATATCAAAAGCATTTCTGTAGGAAAGACTGAACTGCTATGAAGTGAACCTGCAAGTGTCAAATGATGTTTCACAGCCATGTTTACTTTATGAGTTCTTATTGGGCATCATTAGAAGTTACTTGGAAAACATGCTTTGAATTTAGAGAGGCTTGAAAGTGTTTCAGTCAATTTGCATCAGGAGATGAACAGCCTCCAGGACAAGCCTTAAATTTTACATCCATCCACTATCAAGGAAGGGCAGCTGAAGGAGGACATTGAATATAATCTGCATCAAACACGCAAAGAATTTGTACAATGGTTTGGAGTGTCAGAGGAAACCATTCAATTGTATCTGCACAACCTTAGGAAAACATGGAATCTCAATAAGCGGGTTCCTCTTCTGACCAACGAAACAAAACTCCAATGGTTCATCATTTTCTCTTCACTTCTAATACAATAAGAAAGCCCCATTCCTGGAACAGATTTTGACATACAATGAGAAATGGGTGTTATACAATAACCACAAAAGAAAACATCATTGATTGTATCCTGGTTTGGTGGTATTTGCCCCCCAAAGAAAACACTTTCCACTATCCATTTTGGATTTAAACTGACAATAAAGGAACTAATGTATCCCCTTGTTTGATAATAATTTTTATTACATTGCCAAGGGATACCCAACAGTGGCTGAGTGGTAAAGTCGTTAAACCCTGGTAGATCTATATGGGTTCAATTCTAGGTGAATGGGCTGCCTGCATAGGCATTTTCATGGTTTTCACCATGCAACATGGATATGAGCCAGTTTCTCTTAGAAAATCTTCTACAAAAGCATTGCTACATCTAGGCAGATAGCCCTAGTGCTTTGCCATCATCAAACAAATGTAGCTGAGCCATGGAATAACCAATGTGTTTGTGCTAATTTGCGAACTTTATGTTAGGTAGTATCTATAACATCCTGAACTTTTAATCTTTCACTGGTATTGGGGAAATAATGAAAGTTATCTTTTATAACCATTTCTAGATATGATGTTAGTATTTTAACTGAATGATTAGCACATAATGCAAAAGAATAGCAAACATATCTCATATTAAATGCTAATGGTACATCTCTTTTTAGCAATGAGCAGATCCATTCTTTGTACCCATCATAGTGGTAAAATTTTCACTTCCACAGCCAATCAGATTACTTATTGAAATGCTTTTTCTATAAGCTCTTTTATCTAACATCAAAAGTTAGAGTTTGTGATACAAATGTATTTTCATCTATTATCATTGAAATTTTTCTGCATATGGTAGAGATGCATAAATTTTCATGATAGGCTATGCCATTTTGTATAAAATATGACACTTGAGTTGCCTTCACCTACACTTGTTTTGCAATATTGCTATAATGAAATGCTTTTTTACATGCTTCTATAAGATGATTATATTCTGCAGACGGAATATTATGCTTAAACATGAGAGCAGCAATTTTTAACTTTACTTTTGCCTATTTCTTCTTTCTCTGTAGATTTCTTTCTCTTGTTGAACTTGTCTTAGCACTTTTTTTTTTTTTTTTTTTTTTGTTATTGTTTAATTATATTTTTTATGCTACTAACAGTAAATTATTGGCATTCTTTAATTTCACTTTGCAACATAGTAAAATTCACTTTTATTATTACTGTCACCTTTATCATTACTGTCATTATCATTTAACCAATACTTTATTCTAGATTTCATCATTCATGTCTAAAATTTTCAGGTACCACAGCTTACTCACTTTTTTTGGGGGGGGGCAAGTTTTAGATATTCTAGGTGTGGCTAGTTAGTAGTTATCTTATTTAAAAATGATAAACAAAATAAAAATTATAAAGCACTAAGTTAATAACCCAAAACAGAAATAATCACTACAATTTAAAATTATGTTATCAATATACATAGCATGTGAATAAATGTAAAAAATCACACCAAATAATGCAATAATTGCATGATAACGAAGACTGAGCAGTAAAGGTCTTTTGCCTCTCAATAAGCTGTGAGTATAACACGATTAGTAACACAAATGAAACTTATAGGTTAGAAACCAGTAAAAATTTTGAAATCCTTCTTATTTGTAATATTTTGTATAAGCACTTAAAATATTACAACTTATTATCATTACTACTAGAATAGATAATTAAAAAATTGTAAACGCTATTAACTGCCTTAAATTTTACTATATTTACAAGATATTAAAATAAATTAATATTAAAAATTGCAGGGAAAAAACTCAGATAATGAGATATTTATATCTATCAAGTCAGATAACATTTTTTCCCCTTTTCTTTTTTTATTTTCTTCCCTTTTTTTCCGGGGGCGGGGAGAGGGGAGGTGTGCATGGGGGCTCTGATTCTATCACACATCAATGAATAGTTTCTTTCCTGTAAAAAACAATTACTGCATGAATTTCCTTGTTAAAAAATCTGATGTGTACACCACATGACTTCCTTGTACAGAATATTAAATTATGCACATTTTTTCTTGCATTTCATTTAAACTTATCGGATTGAATTAAATCTACTTCGCCGACAACGCATAAACCACAATAGAATAAATGCATTCTTTAAAATTCACTTTAGTATTTGTTTACCATAGCGACACTCTGGCGCTAGATTCCCTTAACAGCATTATATTTCGTTCATATTATAACTCATAATGCACAAAATTTATATCATTTAAAGAATAGAATTATCTAATTGTTGCCATATGTTCTATTCAAATACTATAATAAAGCTAGAATGATGTATAAAAGAAATTAAGCAAAAAGGAAACAGTTTTTCACAGACGATTGAGTATTTCTCATTCAATTAATTCAGTTCTCACTTCACGTGAAGGCAAAAATACATAAAAACTCAAAATATCTATATTAAAAACTACGAAGTAAATCTTAAACACTTATTTTCTTGAAAAAATTCCAGAAAGGATTAAGCATGATTTAATTGGCAATACTAAATGAAGGCGTTATCTTTGTTGTTGTGAAGCTAAGTTTCTCTAGATTGGCAACAAATCCACTAGTCTGCTGTT